CCCCCCCCCCCAAAAAAGGTTAACATGTCCACAAAGCCTGGCAGAGGGGTCAGACTTCGAAGTTTCACTATACAGATTTATAGTGCCTTTTTGGTCCCACTTCCTCCCCTATTGTATTCCCAGAGAGCCCTTGATTTGGGCTTTTATGAAGCAAGTGTAAAGGCACTGTGGTGGAGCACCTGCCCTTGTCTCTCATGAGCCACCTGCAAGCAGTAAATCCTCAGTATACTTCTGTTATGAAGGGCATGTTGAGAGAGCCATGGGGGTGACTTTAAGAGATCCTTTAAGAGATAATTGCTTGACCACATTGAGGGACCTTTGATAACTCTGTCCCATAAGCCAGTCCAGCATTTGATCTCTGTTGGTCTCTTGAGTCAGTTTCTGTGACTTTTTTTTCGCTTTTATTCGTTTGAAACATATGTCAGATGACTATAAACAGACCTTCTTATCAGTTACCTTTAGGATGATAAAGGAGGAAGATAAGGACCATGTGTGTGTGTGTGTGTGTGGATTTCGGCACATGTTTACATGTGTGTGAGGCGGGGCCGCCCAGCTCCACAGGTGTACACAAACCCAGTTTTTATGGGATGGTTTCAACATGTGACAGGATCAGCAGAAGACACGCTGACACGATCACATTATTGCGGATCCACAGACAAATCACCTTTTTAAAAGACATTTTAAGAGGTTGCCCAGAAAGGCAACCAGATGGGGCCTGGAAAAATCCTGTGCCTTCTTTTATTTTCCATCTGTAATCATTCAGCTTGATTTGCGCTCACTCTTGTGATGCATGAAGTGTTGTGCAAGGATTTATAAAATTCAGCGACGGGACAGATGCTTGAGTTTAAGACATGTGAAAAGTGAGAATTGTCTTTAAGTGTCTGTTTATACGATCGCATCACATGATCACTTTATCCTCCGCATCAAAGTCGAAGTGTTTAATATCACATTTGTAGTTCACTCTGAGAGCTCCGTCTTCTTCGTGGACGAGAAAAAAAAAAGCCTCAAGACATCCAAAGCAATCATTCTTGTGTTGTTTGCTGTAAATGTTTCGGTACATATGCAGAATGTTTATGTTGAAGTACGCTGTAGCGCGCATTAGGGATGCTCTTAATGGGCTACAGTAAAAGCCCTTGCTAGTCAGGAGTTCAGGCAGGTGCAGACTCTTACAGTAGATAAAGGAGCCTGGCACTGCAGATGAGTTCACGACAATCACTGTGAGGCTTTTAGACGCCTTCTCCAAGCTCAATCTTCATTTCCCCTGACACTGATTTTGCAATAAGGATCCGGAGAAAAGGGGAATGTCCATCTATTCATTTTAATGATCCCTCATTATTGACTGCTGGCAGGGAGGGGGCGGGCAAAGGTAATGATTCTTTGTCTTTGCTGGCCAATCACTCCTCTTAAAGGAATAAGACTCTAAATAAGGCCACTAATGGATGCCCAGAGTGACCTAAAGCTGACCCCAGATGCAACCCCTGCGATCTGACTTCCCGAAACGATGGACTGTGAGTTTGCTTCTTTAGTTATTTATTAATTCGTTTGTTGTTGTTTTTTTTATACTTATAAAGTTTTAAAACCCAACATAAAATTATCAGTAAATGTCTTGCCACAAATTCTTTGTCATCTGTGAATGTGAATTTAAACTGCTCCCTAAACTAACATTAAAAGTTACCATCAGAACCAGTTGAGTTTAATTAACCTAAAGACTGAGAACAATAACAGAAGATGTTAAAAATATTTTTAAAAACTGAAGTATTTTAGATGATATGAACGTTCTTAAAGATATTTTAAAGAGTTTTTAGGGATGTATGTTTAGATCTTTCATGGAATATAACTCTGAATTCAAACTAGTTCCTACAAGTTGGAGAATTTAAGCAGGTATTAGTCTGGCTTCAGCTGCTAATATCTGTGTAGTAATCTGGTAAGGATCTAAGCTAGGCTTAACAATAAGAGAGCTAGCCACCATCCCTCCTCTCAAATAACTCAGCATTGCCTCTCTAACCTGAGGTGTCCCTCTGATGTACTTGTTTCTAATCTTGTCCATCCTGGTAACATCCAATGAAATCTCTTTCTTGATGATCCACATGTTTGAGTTGGCAAAGATTTTATGCCGGATGCCCTTCCTGACGCAACCCTCTCCACTTATTCAGGCTTGGGACCGGCTACAGGAGTACCCTAGATTGTGCGAGTGCACTCCTAGTAAACAGCCTCACCCTCTCCAAAGCTTCTTGTGTCTTAAAAGTCACTGAAATGAAAATAAGAAAAAGTTGTTTTACTGTGTTAATTTGTGATGTTCGTGATCATGCTGTTTTGCATCCATAAGAACTATTCTGCTTTCCTGTTTCCAGTATTTACTATGGCTAATCTCCTTGGCTGCTGGTACATGTGATGTCAATATACTGTACTCACCCAACGTTCAGCGACAAAATAAATAAAATAAACTCTTTGGCCACTAAAACCTTTTCAAATGCAAACCTAGCATATTTACCACAGAGTACTTTTCAATGACTTGCTCATCACCACATCTCAGTGAAAGCATGACTGTAGCATCTCGGGCATCATTTATGCAAAATTCTACTGTGCATAGCACAGCATCACTGATAGCACATTACTGAGCCTTTATATGTGTGTGCGTGCACCTCAGCCATTCTTACTGTAGCTGTCATCAGTCTGTCAAGGTAATGAACCCTACTTTACTGCTGCCTCCAACAGCTCTTTAAGGCATACTTCACACCCCTGAAGAAATACACTCAGGTATTAGCTGCTCTGCCTGCATTCTCTGGTAGCTGATGGGTGGGCAGGGATGTTATTAGGAGCATTCATCTACAAGACTCCCCAAGCAATACTATACAGAAACTGACCACAAGACAACCCTATCATCCTCAAAGATTACCTGTCTCCTGCACTGTATATGAATGTTTTATCATAAAAGCTTTCTCTTTTTTGCTAAGTGCCTCCTTGAGTGTTTGCTTTTAACTTTTGATTACTTTGTCTTGTTTGCGTAGAAGAAAAAAGAAAAAGATAAAGAAAGAAAAGGCCCCGCCTATTTGAATATAATGGACTTAACGGGAAAGGTAGCCTCTCCTGCTTCACTGAGAGGATATATAGCAGGGGTTTAATCTTACTCAGAGGGTGTGAAAGCTTGGACAGTGCAGCAATATCAGTGCCTCAGAGTCTGTTGAATTTCTGCCTTGACATTGTCAAAGTGAACCAAGCAGGTGAGGAGAGAAAGGCAGAAAACAGACATGACACAATCATATAAATAAAACAGTGTGGCAGGCTTTGTATGGGATCCACATGTTTCCATCTGTCAGGAAATATAGGATGTCATGCATTACAGTGTAAAAAGACTCATTTACAACCATTGAAAGCAATCCATCTCTGCTTTTGATGTGGCCCATCACATCTTGTTTGGCTTTATACATATATATATATATATATAAATATACATGTGTGTGTGTGTGTGTGTGTGTGTGTGTGTGTGTGTGTGTGTGTGTGTGTGTGTGTGTGTGTGTATGATAGCCAAGTTTCTCTTTTATGAAGTCTTGAGTCGTTTAGAAGAAAAAATGTTTTTCTCTTTTTTGGTCTAGACGTTGAGGTTTCCAACCCTTATCCAACCCCCTCCTCCCTTTTCCTCCTGCTAGGTTTTACCAGACGTCGCGTTGTGAGAGGGGAATGGTCGATTGCATAACGTCAGGCGAGACTTGATCGTTCCTGGCCTTCTCACAAAATTCAATCATTCTCTGCATACTCCAATCCCATGACGGCCCATTAAAGAGCAGCGCGGGCTAGGATTTCCCCTCATGTGTTTTAAATTTAAATTACTGTCACAAAGTCTGCCATATGCAAGAATCGAGGAAGACAAGGAGCTTGGGGGAAACGGAGATATCACAATATTTAAAGGAAAGAGAGAGAGAGAGACGAAGATAAGAAAGGCTGCACTCTTACACTTTTGCTTATTATGTTGCCTAAATCATGCTTCCCCCTTCTCACCCCACCCACAGTCATATAGAGCAGGCTTTCTGATCTGAAGTCTTATCTTAATCTCAATGCATTGTTCTTTGGCTCATTTGGATCATTACACAGTTTCAGAAAAAGTGCATCAAAAAATGCTTCTCCGTTTTCAGACAGTAAGCTGTTGTTGAGATGATTCCAAACCGTTGTGCAGCTTTTAAACTCTGCACGCCATAAGTCACAGAAACTACAGGAAGCGATAAGGAGAGCAGGTGAAGTATGAGACAGCAGGAGATGATGACCCCAGATGTTCTCCGGAGAGCCACTGGGATCTGAATCAGCCTCTGACTGGCCATGAGTTCCTCATTCCTGTTTGTCTATGTGGAATAGAGGAAGGACAAACACACGTGTGCAATGCACACGCAAAACAACGCACGCACACACATTCTCGCATCCACCTACATGTATAAGACATTCTCTCCAGATTTAATGTGACGAGCATATGATGCAGCTTGACTCTAATAAGCTGGGGGAGATGCATACTGCTGAATAGTAACTGATGTTGATTCATATATATATATATATATATATATATATATATATATATATATAAAATATATTTTTTGGGGGGGAAACCCCAATATCTAGGCAGAATCAGTATTTCAGCACAGGTGAATGTCTGAACATCTCAGTGCTAATTTAGGTTTGCTTAATTTATCCAATTTAACCACAGAGGATCTTGGGTCAGTGCCCCATTCACCAGCTGAGGTTCAATAAAGCGACACCGAGAGTTCTTTTTAGAGCTCACACCCTCAAATCAGACCACAGCAATTTAAATGTTAAGCCTTGACTGCAGCTATGAGAAGTTCTTGGCGATATTTTTTTTTAATCAAAAAGCGACATCTAGTGGTGATTTTGTGAATTACATAGATATGTAAGATTCAGATCAAAGAGTTTTTGGTAAATTACAACTATAAATAGGCAGCTAATTGGCCTAAAAATATTGTCTTTTTTTTTCTTTAAGCCAGCTATTTTTCAGTGTTTAGCAGACCAATGTGAAGGCATTACCTTTTAGCTTTCATAAAACAAAATTCATGTGATTTGCATTTAAACACGTGACCTGTGGAGTACATCAGTGCTGCCAACTGTCGATCTGTTGATGATATTTTTTTCTTTCCTGTTATGAATGTAGTCTTTTACATCATTGGCCACTTCATTAGGTATAGCTGCTACACCAGGTTCAAGTGCTAGTTGATGTTGTATCTAATAAACCAATGACATGGCAGAAGCTCAGTGCCTCAGCGCAGTCAGAAGGGGAGGTTTATAACACTTTGAGTTAGTGATAAAAGTAAAATATAATAAAACAAAACAAAAGTTTGTACGCCTTATGTATGAAAACAGACCCATTCATTGACAGTGTGCCTTATGGTCCGAAAAATACAGTAAATTTATGAATAGATATAATTTATCTCAGGGCTGCAGACAGCTTGTTCCAAAGAACAGGACTACAATAACTAGGAACAGTTAAAAGATCTGCACGTGATTAACTGAGGGGTCTAACTCGGTTGTAAACGGTGAGCAACTCAGCAAAGTATTGTTTGGCCAAACCATTGAGAGGTTTTTTAGCTAGTAAAAATAATTTAAACTTTGAACATGGCATCTGTTGCTGGTGCCAGATGTGCTTTTCTGAGTCTGAGTATTGGTCTGAGTATTTTAGAAACTGCTGGGATTTTCCTGAACAACCATCTCTATGCTTTACAGAGTTATTGGCAGTTTCCTGCAAAAAAATGGCCAGACTGCTTTGAACTGACAGCAATTTATTTAACCAATCATTATAACAGAATACAGAAGAGCATCTCTGAATGTGCAACATGTACAACATTGAAGCATATGGGCAACAGCAGCAGAAAACCCACATCAGGAGACACTTCAGTCAGTTGAGTCAAACAGTCAGTGGAGAAGTGAAGTTTGGAAAAACATCGCCTGGTCTGATGAGTTTAGATATCTGCTGTCACATTATGGAGGATGGGGTCATAATTTCGATCAAACAACATGAAAGCCTGGATCCATTGTGCCTTGTACCAGTGGTTTAGGTGGTGGTGATGTAATGTTGAGGCCTTGGATTGGAAGAAAGCTGGTATTAAGGCGCCCAAGTTGAGTGTCGTTTAAACAAACTGAGTATTGCTGCTCAGGATTGTCCATTCCTTTATGATCACATCCTCTGATGGCCACTTTCAGTAGAATAATGCACCAGAACTCATTCAATGATGTTTCTTGAACATGATATTAACTTTAAGGTATGCAAATGTACTCCACAGCTACCAGATCTCAAACTAATAGAGTACCTGTGGGATGTGCTGCAACAGTAGGTGGCATAATCAAAAATCCACTGATACATATGATATTCTGTGTCCACCTCATTAATTTTACATTATTTTGCCTCTCAAAATTTGCCTAAGATGCAAATTAGCCTGAATGTTTAATTTTCTTGCCTTAGTCCTGTTAAGGACTGGTGGCTGGTCCAGGGTTCTTACTGCCTGCAACCAACCCTTGGCTAAATAGTTCAGAGGATGAATAAAATGTATGTATAGAGCTCAGTGTAGGGATGAATTACAAAAAGAAGAAGCAATTTTCTGGATAAAACAACATGCAAATTTGCAATTTTTTTAGACAGTAATTAAACAAATGTTTTATTTGGTATTGTTCAACAGTTTCTCCACTTCAGTAACATATACAAAGCACATTGTAGTTTTATTTAAACAACACAGTAGTCTATCCCCCAAAATGCCCAGGTCATTTTATAGAATTAAGGCACATTTTAAAGGCGACAGTACCATAACTTCTTATAAAGCAAAATCAATAAAGTACATGTTGAACATCATCATCTGACATGATGTTCAAACTTCAAGTAAAATAGCTTTGACCTTTTGAACCGACAAGGTTTTATATATTATATTGATATATTCAGTGGCAGAACACTATTTAGTTTGGTCTTTTTGTAGTCTGAGACACTATAGATGGATATAGTGCTTAACAAATTTATTAGATCACCATCCAATGTAAGGTTTGTGCCACAGCAGCTCTATATTAATAATACTGGTAATTACCAAAATCATTATTTTATGTTTCTTTAATGAATTAAAGAGACTGCATCAATTTTTGCAAGTAGACTTTTCAGATTTTGTGTTTCACAAAAAATAAATAAATAAAAATAAAGCTTGTCTTTCAATTATTTTTCAAAATTAAAATGACAAATTATACTCATTTACTTGTATTACTGAACAGAAAAGTTTGTTTTAGTGGTTGAATGTTGTGCTTGATTCTGACTTCTCAGATAAGGTCCAGTTTGTCCGTTCAGATTTGGGTATAAAAGTGTGAATTCAAACTTTGTGAAATTATTTGTGTTTTCTTGTTTTTATGAGAGGTGGTCCAAATAATTTGCTAAGCACTGGGTGTATGTGTACTTCATACATCATTAACTACTGATAAAGTATATGAAATTTACAAACAGAACTTAGGTAAAAAAACACGGAGTGATACTGTGGTGGATTTTCATCTATAACTTGCCAGCTCTCTTACAACAAGTTGGAATAAGTGCAGTTCTACTAAAACAAGTGCAATTAATGCTAGAGTTCCGTACAGCAGAGTTGAACTTAGACACATTTTACATCTATGTTGGACACTTAGTGTTGCAAGCATCACCCGATTTAAAAAACTGATAGAAACCAACAAGTGGAAACATGGTTAGAGCACCAAGCATTGAACCCAGCTGCACTACAGCTCCACACCACACGAGGGCACTGTGGCCTTCATCCCTCAGGATCACCCCAATGATGACTTTGACATAAGACAGGGTGAGGACAAAGAGTATCCAGGCCAGCACCTGCAACAGAGAACTTATTAGAATTGTGCATTGAATGACTTACTCTTACTGCTGTAAGTAATAAGTAGGAGCTCAGAAGATCCTGGTTGGAGCTTGGTTAGCTTAGTAGCATTCAGTGCGTAGCCGCTTGGTTTCTTATTCAGTTTGGTGCCTGAAAAAGTATTTTAGCAGTTAACACCATTTTAGTATTAAGTACTTTTGCTCCGAAAAAGTGTATTAGGAAAGGCACATCTGACAGCAAAGTGGAGGCATAGTTGCCTGTGCACAAAAACAATGTACTCTTTTTGAATGTTTGACTCATTGACTCATTCAATGGACTTTCACAGCTCTTCCATGACAGCATCAAGTAGATGAGACTAAGCTGACTTAACATTATATTGTAAAACCTGTCAGTCACACTACACACCTTAATCACAGGAAATCTCATAAATGCTAAGTGAGTATTGCAAATGGGTGGTGGCTTCATGCTTTTATAAGATGCAAGATAGAGCATGAAGTCTGAAATTTTATTCTGTGTACACAGTAAGTACATGCAAGAAAATAAAGAGTCTTACTATGACTACAGTTCCAGAGGTACTGTGGACCAGCAAAGGACAGGGACTTAGAACAGCCATGCCCATAATGTAGGCTCCAAATCCAGTCCCAAAAATGGTCAAAACTCCCATGAAGACAAGAGACCTGGACAGAAAAGATTTACAAGCTATTGGTGACTTAGAACTTATTTCTTGGATCTATGGTCTTGATTAGTATTTTATAATTATTGTAGTTTTTCTATAGCTCACCTTATTGGTATGAACATGGCAATGAAGCAAGCCACAGGGTTAGCAACAGCTCCCATGGTGGCAGCTAGATGGTAAGCCTTGTTCCCGTAAGGCATACATGAGTAGGACTGCACTGAAGGCAGCACTGCATTGGTCAGAGCATTGACCCAAGCCAACACTACAAAGATAAAGACCACCTCAAAGATACTATATGTCCCCCTCCCAAAAGAACTCCTAGGTTCCCTCTTGCCAGCCTCCGAGGGGCTGATCATGGGCTTTTGCTCTGGTGTCTGGGCATTCAGAGATAGGCCTTGTTCTTTCTTCTCACGATCAAGTTCCCCACTGAAGTACCGTTCGCTTTTTCTCTCACGAGCCACAGCTGGGTGGTGATTGAGTAGGAGGAAAGCGACCAGACACACGACCATCATTACACTAAGGAATATGAAGAAGACCTGTGCAGAGAATTTAGCAGGCTGGTAGATGGCCTGTAGCATTCCATTGTCAGTTATGTTGGAATTATTAGATAAAGTGGCATTTTCACAATGAACTACACCAACGCCTTGAATAAGTGCCACCACTGCAGGCACGAGACCACTGAGGCCCTCACCTGCAAAATACGTTGTGAGATATTGTGGACGCAGCCGCATCATGAAAGGAAGAAAGGTAACAGATGAGGTGCAGTCCACCACAGATAGCAGGAAACTCAATGTCAGCAGTGGAACACTATGCACAGAGTTTCCGAAGGTCACTGTATGCTTCCAAAGGAAAGCCAGAAGGAATGTAGCAACGATGCCCAATCCTACAATGCCGTAGATGACCGGCCGCTCATCGAGCACCCCTGGGCGGAAGCGGTGCATCAGCGTGATGAAGAGAGGGCCTATGTTGGCCATTTGGATGAGGACTGTGAGGTAGGAGGGCAGCAACCAGTGCTCTGGGATATCATTTACGATCAAGGGGAGCTCCACCCACATCCCATTGATGGCCACCCAGGAGCCCATTCCAAACAGACACGCCAGCACGTGAGTCAGCAGCGACATGATGCAAGCAGAAGTGAGCAAATGAAGACCTACAGAATCTGAAACATAGAGACACAGCATAAGCGCGACTGATTAGTGGCATTTAAAAGAACAGTCATTAAACCTTCAGGCAAAGAAATGTTTATGTGTATTTTGCATGCATTTGATGGATTATTGCTTTATTGCATTTATGTACAAATGAGCTTCAATGAAGTGAGTTGTAGAGTGTATCTTTTTTAACTGCAATTAGTTTAAGAGGCTTCATCGGTAGAGGTTGATTACAGTGGAGCTTTGAGCAAAGGTTGTCACTGATGTTCAGCATGTATGATGTTAGTCATGTTCATCGTGATTTAGGGTAACATTTACTTTTGAACAGTTTCTAAAGTTATCTTGTAGGGAACATGAATTTGTGCACTATATTTCATACCAATATATCAATTCCTGAGCCAAATAGTATATGAAAAGAAATAATACTCCATGGAAGTCTTTTTCTGATAGATTTCGAAAAAACAAGTAAAAAAAAAATTCTTTCTGAAACAAAGCCTTCAGATAAGGTGGCATAACTAAACAACAGCAAAAGGACAATGAGCTTTTTCATCATCTTTATTTCATTGTTTCGACACAAAAGTTAATAGATGAGTTCTTCTATGGAAACAGCACATAGAATATTGGTGTCATAAGTTAATACTGTCCCCTTAAGCAGAAATAACCTTGAGAATCTTGTGAATTATTTTCAACCATCCTCTGATATCCTCTAGGTCTCTGATATCCAACCAGGTTGATAAAGCTTTATATTTCTCTTTATTGCTTCAGTAGCAATGCGTTCAAGAGTTTTTGTGCATGGACTTCCCATTTCAAATCCAAAAGATTTCAAATTGATTTAAAAAAAAACAATTTTTCCTGGCAAGGCCTTAATACTCTGCAATTTTGCTGTAATAAGGGTCACATGTTAGAAGAATCTTTTATGACATCTTGGTCAAACTGTCTGCTTGTAAGCAAAAAAATTGGAAGGGCTGTGGGCAAAGAGAATACCAAAGAGAACACTTCTCTATCTCCCTGACAGCTATGTTCTCATGTTATCTGACAATCTTGGATCCACTTCATCGTCAGTTCGCCCAACTGTAAGAAATCTGGGTGTAACTTCATCGGACATTCAGTTATGATTAGCAGGTTGGTTGTCTTGTACAAACTTGTTTTTATCATCTGCAGAACATTGCCCATCTTAAATATCTGAAATGGAATTGAATTTACATGCCTGTATTTAATCACGCCTCGATTATTGTGATTCGTTAGTCCTTTGACTTTTGAGAGTTTTTCATGATCAGATGCCTCTCTGTGTTAGTGAACAACTATACCCATAACTACCAGGTCTCTGAGTTCAGCTGTTCAATGGTTGTTGTTGGTATCCAGGTCTAAGTTCAAGACAAAAGGAAACTGTTTGTGGTTCCCAAGTTATAGAGCTTGGTTCCTTTGGACTAAAGAGACCAGAGTTATTATGGTGTTGAGATGTGTTGCAAATGTGGCAAAAAGAAAAAAAAGTACAAACATAAAGCAGTGACAAAATTGCATGCAAGAAGTGGCAGCTGATATTTCTGCAACTCATCCTGTTGCATTTGGTTTGATATTGAAATGAGCTGACAATTCCTTTGTTTAAGAAATGCGCCTCTTTTCTAAATCATCTGTAAAACTAAACACACCTATAAGCACTATTTGGGATTGCGCTTACACCCTGTTTTTGCCCATTTAGTAAATCTGGCCCAAGACCTTTGTACATGGATGATACCCTTAAAACGTTTGAGACGCACTGTGTAGGCTTGGTCTTATTTATCTTTATATATTACTAACATTTTAGTCATTGTATCTTATTTTATATTGTAAAGTGTCTTGTGATCTTTGTTCTTGAACAGCACTATTTAAATAAACTTTACTTACTCTACTTCTACTTGGCAAGCCCATGGAGGTTCTAATCACTAACCCCTAATCTGGAATCCCTGTTTTTTGGGGATTTCAATATGCCGTCATATACTGTGTTACTATCCTGTTCACCCACTTAAATGAAATCATGCATCATTACAGCTTAATTTGCCATTTGATTACACTTTTTTAAAGTCACTGTTTCAAGTAGGAGCCATTGACCTTCACAGCATTTGTCTTTCTAAGCTTCTTCCATCCTTCTCACATGTGCAGTCTAGAAATGGATGCCTGACCTTTCGCACACTGACACGGTGCTCCCATAAAAACACCATGTGGTTCTGACATAAACATATTTATCAAAAAGAAATCATTGTTAAGTAACTTTAAAAATAATGTAAGTCTTGATAATGACTATGAACAATTAAAGATATAAGCATGTTTTACGTTTAGGGTTGGCTATATAACACAAACGCAATATATTGTGTCAAACTTCTAAAATACACAAGATTATATGTCATGTGAATCAGGAACGAGTAAGAATCTCTGGCTGTTACGTCAGGTTACCTTGATGTAACTTCCTGATCTTCCTAATCTTGATCTGCAATCTAAACTTAATTATCTGGTGCCTTTTGTAACCATTTTTATATACATTTTTTTTTCATTTCTGTTACCTTTTAATGCTGGAGGGAAGCAGATGGACTACAGCACAGAACAGATGGACTGAAAGACTTGAGGCTTTAGGATCTAAGATAACCAGGCAATTCAATCACCCTTACTTCCGTCATACATCATTTCTATGCTGCTGTAAGTACACAAAATCAATCATCCTACCTGTTTCAGAACAAGGAACAAGAAACCACTCTCCCCTGGCTTCTCTCCTTCCAAAAACCTTCACTCTTGGCTGATTCGACTTTTTTTTTTGTTACATCTGCCGCAAATGTGTGTGTGTGTGTGTTTTTATGCCCTCCCCTTTTCTAACCTCTCTACACGCACATACAGGCTTGCATTCTGCTTCCGTTTTTCTGCTGCACTTGCCAGGGGAGGGACTGCACAGGCGCACATGTCCTCTACCACCATGAGTGAGGTCGGTTTCAAAACCAGGCAGCCATGTGCTCGCTCTGTGTTTCAGGGAGCTTAGGAAAAGAGAGCCGGTGGAGGGGGAGGTGTCAATAAGAACTCCTCCCTTTCCTGTTTCCTCCTCCAACCAGCTTGGGACTTTATGGTCTCCCCTCCTTTAAACACACAGGCAGCAGAGTGAGTAGGAAGGTTACGGCTGCCTTTGGATTCACAGTCAGTAGAGTTATAGTTTATAGTATACAGTTAACTCCATGCAGCTGGGGCTTCATTCTTCTGCTCTCTAATTTCTAATGCTTTCACTGTATGACTATGGATTAGATGGTGTAGATGCAGTGATTCATCTAAGCAGACCAGTTTGTCAAGTTCAGCATGACATGGCACTTTAGCAGCCAAAACCTTCACTCTTGGCATATATAATTTGAATATATGGAAAGACTGCTAAAATAGGAACGGGCCAAATGAAGTAGTGTTCCACTACTGCATTGCAATATTAATATCACTATCTTTATCATTGTCTTTATTTGGTTCATTTATTTTACACAAAATTAAATGAAAAAAAAATACATAAATAAATCAAATGACAAATCAAAAGTGAGTAGGTTGGAGCTACAGACTATGTAACACATACACCTGATACAAAAAAAAAAAAAATCAACGTAAGGAAAAAGAAATCATCCACATCTTTAACATCTAATTTAAATACAGTTATGTCAGGGATTATATGAACTCCAAAGAACTATCAGCAAGTCTTAGATTAGCAGCTGCAGACGCAACTTTGTGGGAAAGCTGCTATGCTGAAAAGCCTTATTTGTTTATTAAAAATGAAAGAATTTTTCCTGTATTTCTAAAATGCAGATTATTAGTAACAATAATCTCTTCATCTACTAACCTTTCACATAAATCAAATACACTAAAAACTAAAGACAGAAAGTGCTTTCCATTAATCACTTTATAGCTGTTTATCATTCTGAATTACAAAGGGAACCACCTACCTGCTTGTGGGAAGCAGAGTCAGTTATAATGAAGGTCGCTCAGACGTGTAACAGCGCAGTCTCCTTCTGATATACTGTCTATAGAGTATGAATGCACAGTGAGATGTGGGCTTTGTAATCTGTGTCATGTGACCACTGAGGAGGGCTGAGCCAGGGGTTCAGTTTGGGAACCAAAGTTCTTAGCAGTAGAAACAGTTGGATAACAGGAAAAGGTACACACGGAGAAAAGAAACTATAGAGAAAGGGGTGGAAAAGGCAATTTATATGTCATATAAAAACCTGTATAAAATCTTCTATGGCATTATTACAGCAACATGAAGGTTTTTCCCAAATTGGGTAGAGTAAATTCTGGCAGTCTAGCCAACCAGAAGATGACTTTGGACAGCTTTCTGACTGGCTGGTTCGTTGGGGTCAGTCTTGCTTTTGTTCAGCGCAAATTCCAGCTCAAATGAATGACCCCTGCTGACTACTAACGTCACTGGATGGCTTTTCATTTGAGTGTCCTTGCACCCACCTCAGCACTGACTGGTATTATATGCTCCTTTCCTGAAAAACAAAATTCTTTGTAATTTGATGACTGTTATATGAAACAAATTACTTTTGATACATGATAATTCTACATAAGAAAATCTCTCCTGTACCTTAAATTTCTTCTCTGTTTGCCTGTCCAAAAATATATAACATGTCACCATTTCTTTAGAATCTGTGAAAAATGCCAGACATGACAACAGCTGACAGTCATAAAATAGCAGTTTTGCACCAACGAGATGATTCCCAAATGGCTGTTAGCTGAAAACGTGATATATATTGGCATGGTGTGAAGGGTGTCCTTGAAAAAAAATTGTAGAACCTGGACAAGTGGAGGACAAAAGAAGTGGCGGTGGCGAGTAGCCTTCAGTAATAGTAATAAATCACACAGCAATAGTAATTCGAAGATACTTTAGTGGCACATCTCCCAGGTAGCTAGCACAACTAAAACAAGGTAGTTGCAGTAGGCTTAGGCTAACATTAGTTTTTTTAAAAATAACTTACTTCCAGATATTTCTTTAGGTTGGAGGTGGAGTCTTTTGACGCTGAGAGCAGCTTGGTTGCATTGCATGGTCAGTTCTCGCCCATCCCTTTCTTCTTTAAATGTGAAGTGATGTCAGAATTTCCAAGTAAGAAATGAATTCCTGCCCGTGCACTGCTGGCTCTGTTGTCCTGGCTTCGGGTCCATTGTGTAACTAACGCCACCAACATTAACAGGACGCTTACATTAGAGCCTCTTATTGCGTGTTTTGTTTGGATTGAAGGAATAGCCAAACATATGAAACAGGAAAAGGCCGCTGTGTAATCAATTTATTTCAACAGAGTAACTGTATTCTAATTATCACCTTTTTAAATGGTAACTGTAGCGAAATACAGTTACTCATATTTTGTATTTTAAATACGTAACACCGGTACATGCATTCTATTACTCCCCAACACTGTTTGTAGTTAACACCAAGACTTACTAACTTCTGTTTTCAACCTATGCGCATACTTTTGGAAGCAGAGGGCTGACTGATGAAGAAAGGATTTTACTTATAATTGTAGAAGGAGAGTCAGACTTTTAGACATTAGAGCAGGAAGGAGGGAGTTCCAGAGCACATACCAACTTTTGTGGAGCTCAAGCAGGGATAAAGCAACAGCACGCAACATCAGTTATTGATAAAAATCAAAGTGTAACCTTCGGCTCTGAAAATCTTTTTGGCATTACGATATTCAGAAGGGGAAATAAGAGCCTTTTCAGTTTATTACACACACACACACACACACACACACACACACACACACACACACACACACACACACACGCATGCATAAATGTGGAGTCCAAAATCAGCTAAATATTTCTTAAAGTGTTGAATTATATCAATTAATATTTGCTGAAAGTGCAGAAAACTGTGCCTCTCCTTTCTTTATCAATTCATTGTCAACTCTATAAAAACTGGGCCGAAAGACTTCAACAGAACCATGCTGGCCACAATCACCAAACACTACTGATTACATCAAACATTAAATAGGCAACCGGGTTTTTGAAAATGTCAAAACACACAAACCACAGAGAGGTGCTCATGTCTGAAAGCACCCTTAAAACTTAAAACATTCTTATAACCAGTTAAAGAAATGTTGCCTCATGATAAATGTGTGTTTATCACTGGGAAATGACGACTGATATCCAGTCACAGGACAGAAGTTGTTTTGAAAAACAAAAAAAAAGAAAAAAAAACAACCAAAACAAAAAGCCACTCAGGACTGGAAGTAGGCTAAAGGGCACTCCTGTGACCTGGATTCATAATGAATATTTGTGTAGAACTACAATACCCTGCTTTCTTTTTCAAAACAGCTGGGCCCCATGTTTAAATAAATATGTCTGTGTTTTTGGTACTGCATGTACTCTGCAACGGAGTCTGAAAGAGTCACCAACAGGAGGGCAATGTTCCTGAGAATCAACAGATTACATTTCTTTGAGAATCTATCATAAACACTTGACCTTCAGACACATTCTGTAGTTAAAGTGACTGACATGTTCTTTTAGCCTAATATTTAGATGTTTCTTTGTCATACCATGTCAGGTAATATGGCAGATTCAGTTTAATGTTATCAAACAAAATGTTTTTTGGAATTTAAAAGGAAAAAATAATTAGCCAATCAGCTTATACTGCTATTGAATCTTGTTTTGAGCATCTAGTGCCCACCTGTAAGCACTGACCCAGCTACAGTGGTCAGTTGTCCAAGCATGCCTTGACAGAGAGGATTTGTCTTTCATTGACGCAACCCACGTCCTCAACTCTGAACTGACAAATGCATCAAATTTGGCACCATTTGAGAAAAACAACGAGGCTTCCCAACAGTGTAAGATGTTCTGGGCCTACCCTGAGATCTCTTCCCAGTCTGGCATGGTTGGAAAACCTTCATAGGGAGCAGCCCATAAAACATCTTAACTTAATACCTGAACCACCTCAACTGTCAACGAATATGACAAATAGGATTAGAGCTAAAGTTCAACCCTGGTGGAGCCCAACATCCACTGAAAACATGCCTGATTTTGTGCCAGAAATGTGGACAGCTCTGACTTTGATTATACATAGACCCCGTGGCCTGTAACAACAGACACACTCCATACTCCCACAGTTCACCCCAGTAAACTTTCTCCAAATCCACAAAACACATGATTGAAGGGAGGGTCAAACTCATACGATCCAGCCAAAAGTCCTGTAAGGGTGATGACCTGGCCCACTGTTTGGACAGAACTGGCAGTGCTTTTCCTGAAGATCTGGACCGAGGTTCGACAGTCAGCCGGAGACTCTTTTTCAAGATCTCGATACCCTGAAAATTTAAGCACACCCACTTTTTGGTAAATGGCAACCACCACTCCACTCCACAGGCATTGTCTTAGACCTCCACGTCAACCAAGTGTCAGCCAAGACAGCCATACAATGGCCAGAACCTTTATCATCTCAGGATTTTGGAATCTCATCCTAGCCTGGCAACTTGGCACCACGGAGCTTCTTAACTACCCCAGTAACCTCTGCCATTGTAGTTGGTCTTCTGCCTCCTCCACAGAGGGCATTTTGGTAGGTACCAACCCTAGAACTATATATTAGCAAATGTAATAATATTAATAGCAAACTATTTCATATTTTTATACAAAAGTTTTATTTTTTATACAAGTGGATGTAAAATTATTAGTGACATTCATCTAAAGTTAAACATCAGAATGAGTGCTGGGTATAGAAACATTTACAGTACAGAAAGATCAGGGTGCATAGCAATTGAAGTGAAATCTGGCTGTTGTAATTTTTTACAGTACAGTAAATTATCAACTGTCTCCAAACATGAGGCAAAGAGAAAATGTATCCCATCACGTAAAACATTTTTGACTTTAAAAAATTTAGTTGACAACTGCATAGACCAAATGCCATGACATAAGCTACTGAAGCTACTCAACCTCAGGTGGATCTAGTACAAAGGGACACTTACAAACATAGTGGTTACACATATTGTAAAGTATTAACTGGTCTATGATTAACCCGCAGAATAAAAGCTTTGCAACACTACCAGTGGATGATGATGATGATGATGGTGGTGGACTTGTAGTTGATTATTTCTCAAGATAAATGTGGTTTGTTGTTTATTGCTGAAACAATACATACTGTTATGTCCAGGCTCATGTGTTGTTATTAAGGAAACTAGTGTTGAATGTTCTTTTTAACATCTTTGGAAGGCAAATAATGAATTAACAAATGTGAGAGTTTCTGAACTGATTGAATGGCAGAAAACAAAACAAAAAAACGATACTGTGTTGCTTAAAATGCCAGAAAAGCATAGAAACTAATAGAAATATTAAATATACAACCACTGCATTCTCATGACATAAAATTGTCAACATTATTTTTTTATGAACCCCAAACTAAAATTATAGTTTGTATAAATCATATGTAAGACATCCTCTTACTTAGCACGACATATCTACAGTAGTTGGACACAGAAAAGTGCATATTTATAAAGACAAATGCGCTAAAGAAATTTTTCTAAGTACAGTGTTATGAAG